TTTGAAGATCTTACAGCTACCTTCTTAGGAAAATGATCACAAAATAATAGGAGAGTACTGTTATTTTTTAAGATCTTACAGCTTATTTTCTTCCTTATTAACGAGTGACAATGTCATCGATGATTGAACTGCATGTGAACCAGACTAGCGCAGCTATCCAAGGCACCTTTGGACTGATAGAGACTCGCCTTCTCTGTTCATCAGTCATGGTCTGACCATGGTGGTCCAGTAGACAACTGATGTAGGGAACACAACAACATGCTTCGTTGGTGCGAGTAGCTGTATCAATCCCCGGGAAAAAAAACCGGAGGCGGAAGAGGAAGACATTAAATTTGTGGAAGAGAAAGATCTTAAAAGGGAAAGAAAGAAAGGGTCATTGCCTACGTGAAATTGAAAGGTGTTGATTGAATAGTTCTCGGTGTCCAACGTCTTTGAAAACTGGAAAGAGCAAAAGATCTCATTGGTTTTCGCATCGAGAGGGAGGCGTCCGTGTTTTTCTAGGCGGCGGGTGGAGTATCTTTCAATAGGCCAACGCGGTTTCCTGCGAGGGCGTTGAAAACGGACCGCGGTTCTCGTCCTGATGATCTGATTCATGTGCAGTAACCGTTGGATTTTCGTAAGCTTTTTATTTTTTTATTTTATTAATAATTTTGAAGTTATTTTTTTAAATGTCAACTCACTTTATTTCATTTCATTTTTATATCCAATTTTATTTTTATTTTTATTTTTATTTTTTTATTGTTATTTTTTTATTTTTTATTTTTTAATTTCACTTCTCCATATTTTATTTTATTTTTTTATCTATCCAATTTAATCATTATTTTATTTTATTTCTTTTCATTCTCTTGTTAATTTAATTTATTTTTTAATTTAGTTAGTTATCATTATTTTTTATTTTAATTTTTATACCAGATTTAATCATTATTATTTATATTGTTTTTTTAATTTTGTATGATTAGAAATTTTATTTTGTAATTTTTTTATATTTATTTTTTAATATAACCCTAGTCTTATAACTCGGGTTTTAACTTTTGATTATTATATTTTTATCAAAAATTTAAAAAATTATTCTTATTTTAACTTTGGTATTATTTTAGGTCTTTTTTTAAATTTTTTTTTTAATATTAGATTCCTGCATCTAAGCTTTATAAATTTTTTTCTTCTTTCTTTAAGTCGAGATATCCTTATTTCATACTTCAAATAATGTATGGTATTTAAAAAACTTAGTTATATTAGTACGGTATTTAGTTATATTTTATACTAAAAAACTTGGAGTATGATCAATGAAAGATGTGCTTATTTGTTTATTTTTTTCAATTCCCCCTCTTTTATCATTTTTCTTTTTTTCTTCTTAATTGCATTATTTTTTCTTTTAATTGCATTTCTTTAATTTTTAATTTGCTCAACACTGTATCGCCTATATATTAAGAGGTAAAATCCTAGATTGCAGTCCTTAACGATAGATGTTGCGATGTTTTCTCACGTCTTCATGCAAGTTGCCATGGATCTTGGTTATATAAATATTTATTATCTCCGGGATAAGGATAAGGGGATGAAAAAAAGGCTCATGATTTCCTTTTCATCTTCAAACTTCAAGCGAACACACCCTCTCCGCAACGCATCCGCGAAGCTTCTAACTCTTGCTATGTTGCTCTCATTAATTATTGGAGGGTCTCCATGGCCGATATTAAAAAGACTTGTTTTACAAATTCCCAGTCCTTACACATACTCCCCAGCACTGAATTACTATCGCCCACCTCATCTTCAATCTGGGATGGAGCTCGTCTTCCTTTGTGGATCTAGAACATGATCAGCTATGCTAGAGGGAGCATTTACGTTGACAATAATGGTGAGGCAGCTTCTCAAAAGGCTAGTGGGTTTAAATTTTTAATAAAGGAGATGCTTCAACTTTAGGGGACCAAGCATCAAATGATCATGTACCTTGTGAAAATATTCTGGTAACTAGAGCGAAAGATGCCTTTTCACCTCATCAAAGATCCACACGATGACACCTCTATCAAATATTCTTTACCAATTATATGATCTATGTGTTCCATAATCCATGGAGAGCCCCTGCGAGACTACAGGGAAAGGGGGGGAAAGCCACTTCCTCAGTACTAGATAAGAGGTAGATTCCAGCAAGAAATAACCACTAGCTCGAGGCGCCACTGAATTGGGTTCCTGTCTGAACAAAGCACATGCCCAGCACAGCACCCTTAATAAAGTAAAGTTTTTAACTAAAAGCAAGTACAAAAAATAATACTTATATTTAATTTGATTGGAAGCCAATAAAATCATAAATATGATCAAATTATGTTCCAAATATATTTAAACATCTCAATGATAAACAACCAATCTTAATTAAAATTTCATAAACCATTTATAATTATTAGTGTTTTTATTTTCAAATCAAATACATAATAATTAAAAAATAAATTAGTAAAATTAAAATAAAAAATTATGATATTACTTAAAAATCATGTACTAATTGAAGAGTTAATGAATCCATTAATTTTTTTATAAAATATAAAAGAAAAAAAATAACTAACAACTAGTTCAAGTATGTTTAATAGTTAGATCCACATGCCTAACCGGTTTAATTTATTTTAATAGTCTATAAGATATTAGAAAATCAATACCTATCCCCAATCTCTTGAAACCATAACCCTTGGGTTTCTACACATGTCTCAGCCACTTGAATTTATTATTAATTAATTGATTAAAAAAAATATTAAGAAGCTCTACTGTTTATATTAATAAATCACCATGAAATTAACATTAGTGTTGCAGGCACGGTGTTCTTTGATGTCACCGGGAACACGGCACATTGACATCCTTCTTGGTTTTGAATGCCTTTGGGTAAAAAGAAGAAGCTGGCGTCAAGATATTATATTTTGCTCGATCTCGCCATTATCGACAATGGCTCTTTCTGTGATACCATCCCCCAAAACAAATGCTGCCATTTCCATCATATGTGGTTTGACTCAACTTATCTTCATTTTTTGTCGTATTTTTCTTTTTATGACACTGCTTCAGCAACTAGCCACGTAACCCCACTATCCCCCCCAATGAAATGTTGCTTTTCGAGGTGTCAATCCTGTGGCTTGGAGCTCTAACCAGGTGGGACTTTGTCCACCATTCAAGCTCCTTCAAGCAAGTTCTATTCCAAAACTTTTTGCTTGTCCACGATAGCAATCTCCATGATTCACTGAAAAAGGCTCGAACCAGCAAACAAGTGTTGGATCATCACACGTCTGTTCATAAAGGGGATTTTTAGAAATCTTGGGTAGAGAAGAGGATAGAATAGCTAGACAAGAAGAATAATTGGGGCCCAACTATATCTTATTCAAATCATGCCTCCACCTATATATATATATATTGATTTAAGAATTTTGCTTTTGAACTCGTGATGTTTTCCGACTAAACAAGGCGTTGGCATCCTTAAATTAACTGCATGTTTTGATGGTAACAATATCCTTCCTTGGCAACTCTACACGGCTGATTAATTGTACATGCATGGGCTGAGCACTGGTTATTTAATTACGTTCTTCTTGCTGGAGAATACTAGAGTGAAACAAGTGAAGAAACCCTAAGCCTTAAAAGTGGAAATGGTAATAAAACTTGTTTTTAGTTCATTAAATACTGAAGAGGTCCTTTTTACATCTAAATTCTTCTAAGATTGTGTTTAATTTGGGCCTTTTCTAGTATGTGACAACTAGTTACCTGCTGTTTTTATTTTAAATTTTTTTGGAGGGAATTTTGATTTTTTTGTTTAAAATTAATTTTAAAAAATAAAAAATATTATTTTAATATATTTTCAATAAAAAAATATTTTAAGAAAAACAGCCGACACGATATAGACAGCTAAATAATTCCTTTTCAAAATGCTCATAAAGAATGTCTTCAGTTACTTGTTACCGTGCCTCCAGAAAGTGCATTATAGTTTTGCATTTTCTCAGTGCCGACATCATGAAACGACATAGTGTGTGTCTATTATCGCAATATGCAAGTACTGATGGAAAAATGATACGCATTTGCAGCTGCACTGAAAAGGACCTGACATAAACTAGTAGACAAGCTCCATGCTCTCAGCATTAACTTTTATCTCATCCGTTCTCCACTGTCGCGGCGCTTGCGAGGCGTCGAGAGTATTGAAAAGAAAATGTAATTTTAAGTTTAATTATAAAATTATAGTTATAAAGTTAGCATTCACCATCTAATATTATAATTATTAAAAATATATAATAATTTACAAGAATTCAAATAAAAAATTAATTGTATATAAAAAAATATATCATCTCTATCTAAAATAAATTATATTATTATTTTGTTCTTTTTTAAAATTTTATTTTTATTTATTAGTCTTTATCAAGGTTCAAGACAAATATCTATTTATAATAAAAACCTTTATTTTATTGAATTAAATTTTAATATTTATAAA